TGTGTGTGTGTGTAATTTAGCAAGATAACTCGAGAAGCAGTGAATGGATTGGAATGAAACTTGGTAGGTGGGTAGGTCTTCATGAGACCTAGAAATGATTAGATTTTGGGCCCCCTGGCGGCTTTCCTAGGTACTGCAGCTGAACTTCCGGTTTTGATATCTCATGTTCTGGACATGCTAGGGTCACGAATTTTGGTTGGTAGATAGCTTTGGGGGTAGGGAAGAAGTGACATGAGATTGGTTCCCCTAGCGCCTTGTTCTGGAACTGCAGGAGCATTTGTTGAAAAAAAATTGAAGGACGATAACTCAAGATCCGGTTGACGTATTGTCGTGATTTTTGGCATGTATGTAGTTGAAGTGATGCTTGACATAATCAGATGGCAATTATGCAAATCAGGAGCTAATTTGCATAATTAATGAGGAAATTCTATAAATCTGCTTTGTTCGATAATAGAACTATTAAACACTTGTGACATCTACTTGAGAACGAGAAAAACATCTGAGGATATAGATTATGTAAATGAGAACCTAATTTGCATAATTAATGGCAAATTCTTATAATTCCATAGTTGTCACTGCTGCACCCAATTTCATACTTGCCACATTTGGAAGTTAAGTGAAGAGAAGTGAAGATCAATAAACATAATTTATTCAAATCATGACCCCATTTGCATAATTTATGAGGAAGTGCTATAATAGCCTTTTTGTTATGATAAGGCTGTCATTTGATGGAGAATATGATCAACTGATATAATCCATACAAATGAGGCTCTTATTTACAAAATAAATGATTAAAATTGTATAATTTGTCACCCGCAAGAGTTAACACCATTTGGCGAAGGTATGAGATCGTGGAACTCTTGTTTATTCTTACTCAAAGACGCTCATATGTATGGTGACCATGCAGCCCCTCTTGAACTCAGTTCTGCATGGCACTTGCAACATTATATAACCCCTAACACCAGTTACGATGGTGATAGACGTCTGGTCCTGGTCATTGACCTTTGAAATTTGTTTGGAATGGAAGAAGAAGAAGAAGCGGAAGAAAGTGAGCAAAAACAATATGCTTTCCTTCGGTAAACATGGATTAATTACCTTTCACCCCATTGAAGTCGACGGCCACCAGGTGAGGTTCAGACCCCTCGGCGGTCTGCGTGATCAGGATTCGGTAAAACCGTGCGGACGTCACGAAGTCGCCAAACGTCTGCGGCTCGTCCGTGCCGCCCTCGACGTCGAATGTGGAGACGTCGATCCAGTCGTCGTCGGCTCCGGTGGTGGAGATCTGGAACGTAAATGACGTGATGTCGTGCTCCGTGTCCCCGGTGTTGGTGAGCGTTAGCTCCCTCATCAGGTAGCTGGTCTGGAGGTCAAACGTCATGTACCATGCGTTGAAGTTCCTAGAGTAAGAAACACAGAGTAAAACTGTATCCTTGAACAGGGACATCAAGGAGGTCAACACGGAAGACAATGGGTTCTTCTTCTTCACTCGTCCCTGTCCCTTTCGACTCGTCCAAGACTGTATAGCTGAAGACAAAGGCGTAAAAGATTCTGAGTTGAAGAAAAGTTTGGCATCATTACCATCTCCATTGGGTAGAGCAGAACAATCTTCAAACTTTAAGTATTATTGATATCATATCGTAGCTACCCTCACTGATGACAATAACTGTCTGTATGCAGTGAAACAGATGTTGAATTCTGTCTTGGTCAATCTTAGATTAAAAGTACTTCTGATCATACTTATTTAGCTACAGGAAATGAAACCTACTTTTCCGTGCCACCAGGCATCCAGTACGTAGTCTTGTCTCCATCGAGAGCTTTCCCTGGCTCGAATCCAGGTACGACCGAGCCTGAGACATCGGTCACGCTTTCTTCTGTCACCTCAATCCACTCAGCCTGTGATACTGATTCAAATGAAACATAGAGTTTGTTCTCTTCTGAAGAGCATTAGAATCTGAACTTGTCGTATCTAAGGCATAACTCACCCAGAGCATGATACCCGTTGAATTTGAAATACAGCAATTTTTGTTAAAAACAAAATCCCCCCGACCAGAGGTTTTGTCCATTCTGTCCCAATGTTATTGAAGACGAACAACATTTTGTTTCGGATTGTCCACTATAGAATCATATATGATAAACGCACTAAAGCTGACAACTTCAACCTACATGTACATGTAGCTTGCTCAACAGAATTTGTTACATTTCATGCTATAGATAAATTTAATTTCCTCCTAGAAGGTAATAACCAGCCCTTACTGTGTACAAATAGGTAAATATATCAAAGAATGTTTAAACCTTAGAACAAGTAGTATAAGTTGACTCATCTATTGTTTTGTACGTAGGCTAATTTTTATTGTACCCATGTATTTGTCCGTATGTCTACGTGACTGTATTTTTAACCTTTCGGAAGTTGCTGTACTTTTGTTGTGTCAATATTATATTAAAGTATTATTATTATTTAATCTCAGTGCTATACAAAGCAATACAAAGCAATTTCTATCACTGTGGCACTTTCTTTTACAATATGTGCCTTTTTGACAGTTCGTATATGCACACTATTTTTTCCAGACCGCTGCATACTAACAGCTGACTTACCTTCCTCCACGACTTCCACCAAAGTGCTGACATCCGGGGCTTCTGGTTCCTCCTCTGACTCGCCTTCTTCCTCCGTCTCCGTCAGATCCCCTGAAGATGTACAAAACAAGTCTTAAAGTTCCACTACCTCATACCTTCGCCAAATGATCTTGACCCTTCCGACTGACGAATTTTTACATATTTTTTCATTACTTTTGCAAATAAGAGTATTTGCTTTAACTATCTGATGTACATTAACGTTGATCATACTCTCCACCTAATGACAATCTTACCTTATCTTAACAAACATGAATTATGCAAATGAGGTAAATGATGAAAAGTAAAGACCTTTCAAAATGGCGTTAGGTCAGACTTACAGTTTTTATAATCATTTAATGGCATTCTACTTCTTTATACAACTTCAAACATCGGCAGTTGCATGAGTCAAGTAAATAGTCCTTATAGCTATGACAGGTAAAACTTTAATGCTCAGCAATGTATTGTGCCAATTGAGGGGTTAAATGCATGATAAGAATGTAAATGACGTATGTACGTACGGAACATGCGTTTTTGATGGCCATGTGTTGATTGAATTTTATAATTGAAAATTCCACACGCCATGGCAATAAACGAGTTTTGGCCGTCGAGGAATGCGTCTTTCAGAGTAATTATAATGTTCCTGCCTGACAAACGTCACCACGAATTCCGCCACTTCATTGCAAATCTGTTGCCTCTGTTGTTGTCCTTGGGAACAAATCACATCAAGTGAATTGCCACTTGGCATTTTTTCTAGCACAAGTTGACTTTACAGCCCTCTTGGTAATTAATAAGACGCAGTGTCTTGCTTTAGTTTGGCAATGATAGTTTGTATGTTGCTCGTGTCAGTGGTAGCCAGTGGTATGCCACTTCATATACAGCGAAAACATTGTCAGCTACATGTACAAGTAAATACTACTTAACTATGACAGGTAAAACTTTAATGCTCAGTATTGTATTGCGCCGGTTTGGGGATTAAATGAATGTGATGTCTGATAAGAATGTGAATTGCGTACGGACCGTGCAATTTTAGATGGCCATGTGTTTTTGTGAATTTTATTAATAAAAATTCCATACGCAATGACAATAAACGAGTTTTGGGCGGCGAAGAATGCGTCTTTCTTTGTACTGTTTCTGCCTGATACACATCACAACAAATCCCTGTCACTTAATTGCAAATCTGTTGCCTCTGTTGTTGTCCTTGGGAACAAATCACATCAAGTGAATTGTCGCTTGGCATTTTTTCTAGCACAACTTGACTTGACAGTCCTCTTGGTAATTAATAAGACGCAGTGTCTTCGTTGCCTTATTTCGGCAATGTTATGATACTTTGTATATGTTGTTCGTGTCAGTGGTAGCCAGTGGTATATTACTTCATATACAGCTAAAACATCTGCAGCTGCATGTACAAGAAAATACTACTTAGCTATGACAGGTGAAGCTTAAATGCTCAGTATTGTGGTTTGAGGATTATATGAATATGGTGTCTGATAAGAATGTGAATTGCGTACGGATCGTGCAAGTTTTGATGGCCATGTGTTTTTGTGAATTTTATAATTGAAAATTCCACACGCCATGGCAATAAACGAGTTTGGACCGCCGAAGAATGCGTCTTTCGGAGTAATTATAATGTTCCTGCCTGACAAACGTCACCACGAATTCCCGCCTCTTAATTGCAAATCTGTTGCCTCTGTTGTTGTCCTTGGGAAAAAGTCACATCAAGTGAATTGCCGCTTGGCATTTTTTCTAGCACAAGTTGACTTGACAGTCCTCATGGTAATTAATAATACGCAGTGTCTTGTTTCATTTCCGCAATGTTATGATAGTTTACATATGTTGTTCGTCTCAGTGTATATCACTTCATATACACCTGAAACATCGGCAGCTGCATGTACAAGTAAATACTACTTAGCTGTGGCAGGTGAAACTTTGATGCTCAGTAATGTATTGTGCCGGTTTGGGGATTACATGAATTTGATATGATCTGCTAAGAATGTGTAAATGGCGTACGAACCTGCATTTTTGATGGTCATGTGTTGATTGAATTTTATAACTGAAAATAAATTCCATACGTCATGGCAATAAACGATGTTTGGGTGCCAACGAATGGGACTTTCTTTGTAATGTTCATGCCTGATACACGTCACAACGAATTCCTGGCACTTAATTGCAAATCTGTTGCCTCTGGTGTTGTCCTTGGGAACAAATCACATCAAGTCAATTGTCGCTAGGCATTTTTCTAGCAAAAACTTGACAGTCCTCTTGGTAATTGATTGATAAGACGCATTGTCTAGCTTTATTTCGGCAATGTTATGGTAGTTTGTATATGTTGTTCGTGTCAGTGGTAGCCAGTGTATATACCACTTCATATACAGGTAAAACATTGGCAGCTACATCTACAAGTAAATACTACTTAACTGTGACAGGTGAAACTTCAATGCTCAGTAATGTATTGTGCCGGTTTGGGAATAAATGAATATGATTTCTGATAAGAATGTGAATTGCGTACGGACCGTGCAGTTTTAGATGGCCATGTGTTTTTGTGAATTCTATAATTGAAAATTCCACACGCCATGGCAATAAATTAAACGACTTTGGGCCGCCGACGAATGCGTCTTTCAGAAAAATCATAATGTTCCTACCTGACAAACGTCACCACGAATTCCTGCCACTTAATTGCAAATCTGTTGCCTCTGTTGTTATGTTGTCCTTGGGAACAAATCACATCAAGTGAATTGCCGCTTGGCATTTTTTTCTAGCACAAGCTGACTTGACAGTCCTCTTAGTAATTAATAATAAGCAGTGTCTTGTTTCATTTCCGCAATGTTATGATAGTTTACATATGTTGTTCGTCTCAGTGTATATCACTTCTATACAGCTAAAACATCGGCAGCTGCATCTACAAGTAAATACTACTTAGCTGTGGCAGGTGACACTTTGATGCTCAGTAATGCATTGTGCCGGTTTGGGGGATTAAATGAATTTGATATGATCTGCTAAGAATGTAAATGACGTACATGTATCTACTCACTGACAATGCATTTTAGATGGTTATGTGTTGGTTGAATTTTATAATTGAAAATTCCATACGTATATACGCCATGGCAATAAACAAGTTTTGGGCGCCGAGGAATGCGTCTTTCATACTGTGTGTGTTAGGATCCTGTCTGGTAAACATCACCGGGAATTCTTGTCACTTAATTGCACACCTGCCTGTATGACAGCCTGAGTTGTTATCCTTGGTAATCAAAAGAAATCACATTAAGTGACTTGTGGCTTGGCATTTTTTCCTGCACACGCAAGTTGGATTGACAGCCCTCTTGGTAATGCGCAGTCTTTTGCTTCATTCTGGCTGCCGACTCCACCGCAGACGGCCGTCGCTCACTGCATCCCCTGTCCGGCTGACATCTGTCCACATCCAAGTCAGCCATGTTCAACAACAGCTCTCTTTCATCGCCCGTGACCAACCTGACACCAGAAGGTGACATCATCGGGCAGCTTTCCTGTATCCTCTCGCACCTACGAAACAAGTCATCCTACGACCAAGCCCAGGACGCCTGCTCCACGCACACGGACTTTCTGGAGTTGGGAACAGGACTTACTGTCGTGTTTTGGCTGATAGGACTTCATATTATCATCTCGAACGCTGCCTTGCTTTGGGGAATCATCCGAACACCAGAGCTCCGCAAACAGATCTACATGTTCATGGCAAACAATGCCGTGGCAGACATATTGGCAGGTATTGGACTCATCGTACGGTGTCAAGCTGTAGACAGAGTAGGATTGAGTAGACTGTATTTCATGATGAATATTGAGACTTTCCTAGTGTATACTCAGATGATGTCTGCATCAGCTCTGTGCATGCTGTCTATAAGCTCGTATGTTGCTATAAGGCATCCTATATTCTTCCACACCCATGCTCACAATGCCAAACGCGACGCAGGTGTGGCTATTGTTACAACGTGGCTTGTTCAGACAGTGTTAGGTTTTCTGCCCAGTATGGGTTTGAACTGTTTAGATATGCCCGATTTAAAGTGTTTCAACTTTTCCCCCCTACCGACTATTGCTCTCAAAGTCACCACAATGGTCTTGCTGCTCTTTGTCATGCTGTTCACGAATACAAGTATGTTCTTGGCCATCAAAGAACGGCAAAAGAGAAGGCTTGGGCAGCCACACGGACAAAACAGCGCATCGCAAAATCAGCCTAACGGTGCAGCAGAAAGAAAATACCAAAGCAGTGTGCACAAAGCCAGGACTGTTATGATTCAGGTAG